ATTACATTTGAAATATCCATTTAGGTTGGCACTGGCTTTTGTCTTCTTTTATTTTATTCTATCCTTCATTCTAAGGTCTCGGCTCAGAAGACTCTCATTAGCAGGGTTCTTTTAGCCTAGACTTTAGCGCGACCACACAGTCCCTGGTGACCCTACGTTCAAGGTGACTTGCACGCGTGGGCTTGGCTTTGGTCTGCGCCGTTGCTTTGACATTTGTTTGACACTGGAACATTGTTTCTTTCTCAGGCTCGCAGGAGGAGGGGACGCAAACAGCGCGCTTCGGCGCAGCAGATCCTGTGGCAAGCAAAACGCTGCAACCGGCCACGGAGAGAAGGACCTTTTCTTAACCAGGAGACTACAAAGCTACCACAGTTGGGACCGAGGATTCTGATTCCGTAGTTCTGCAAGCATTGCAACATCCGCATACCCGACGCAGTGTGGTTTTGTGGGCAACGCGGCACTGCATGGTCCGCGAAAGGTCGTGGCAAAAGGCAGGGGAAGAGTCGCTCGCAATCTGCGCGGGGGGCCAAAAGAGCAAGGACCCTTCACGCAGCAGCCAAGAACATCGAAGGTTGCAAAAGCTGCAGAATCCGAAACTTATTGGGTCGGATCTACTCCGACGACCAGATTGCCGGCAGCCAGAGAAGCCTCCGGAACCTCGACTTCCAGCGCCGCCAGGAAGTGGGGAAACAAAAGGAGGCGAGGGTGGAGCAACTGTTATGTTGCACCTAGAAGCCATCAAGGCACACTATGGTGCAGCCACAAGCAATTTGCAAGTGTCGATCCAGCAGTTGGAGTCCAAAGGAGAAGAATCACCTTGTCTGACGCATGGGCATTTAAATCGCCTCGGAAAGGCGCAGAAAGGCTTCGACCAGGCCAAAAAGAAGCTTCGAGATGTTGACGAAGACTGGAAGAGTCGAGTTTCGTGGCCTCAAACCCAGAAGATTGGTGGCGGAAGCAAGTGCCAACCTTTCCCTGCAACGAGAAAAGGTCAAGCAGACGGTAGCCTCCATGCGATCAGATGTAACCGCGTGGAGGAAGATGGCGATCCCATGCCCATCGATGGAAGAAATGAAAATGATGCTTGGAGAGCGCGAAGCTTACGATTTGACGACAGGCAACCACGACCACGAAGAAGAGGACGAAGGAGCTATGGACGAAGAAGAGGACCTCGAGGCCTTTCCAGAGGCGAGCGCTCCCAAGAAAACTCGTGGAACAGCATTCCTCACGCCCACGCTGCATACACCGGTAGAGGGTGTTTGCGCGCCGGCGAAAAACTTATACAATCGTGGTTGCAAAGCATGTTTTTTGCGCAGCCGGGGAACAAGCAGTTGCGCGTAGCAGGATGTTTCTGTGCTGTTGCACTTGTGGCCAGGTATAACTTGCATTCAAGACATTGTACCCTCGTTGCCACCCGCGCAAGAGAATGGAAGCTTGTCTTGATGAAGCAAGTAGGAAAGATTTTCTGTTCCCATTGTCTGGGGGTTTGCTGTGCATCCAGGGTTTTGGCAAAAGTGCTGCAACAACCCTTTTGATCACCACGCTTGAAAAACACGGCCGCAGTGCTTGCTTTAAATAGCCAGCTGTTGATCACCATGCTTGAACGCATGGCGCACAGTGCTTGCTTGAAGTAGCCAGCTGTAAATTAGCAACTTCGACAAAAATTAGCAATTTCGACAGTCGCTCGAGAAACAAGCTCTTGAACAGTTGCTAAGACCTGGGACTATCGCAAAGCTGCACATGTCTCGTAAGACTGATAGTAGGCTGAATGCAAGAGGGTCTTATCACTGTGTTGATTGTCGCAAGCTAATTTTCGGCGCTGCCACAGCAGGAGTCCATCGGCGCAGACAACATGGTGTGTGTTCGCCGCAATACTACTTTGCAAAAGGCGAAGTTTGTCCAGTTTGCTTCAAGTCTTTTGGGAATAGCGAGGCGCTGCAACAACCCCTTGAATATCGCAATGGCAGATGCTGGGGATATCCTTGTGGCCAGTGACCTCACTCTGGAGGAATTCCAGGGAGAACGAATACACAGGAGCGTGGAACAACTACCGCTTGCGGGGTATGCGGTGTGCAGGGCGGAAGCGGGCCACCCTTCGCCTGCAACGTTCGGTCCTGCCAAGCGCCCAAGCACCACAGATGACCTGGAAAAGGCTGCGGTGCAATATATGCTCAGTCTTTTTCCCGATAGAGCAATCAGTCGCAGATTTCCTCTTTTGCGCGCAGCAAGTCATTCCGTTTCTGTTGAGAACCTTAAGGAATACCTGGCAGATAACGGCTTGACAGGATTGACGCATGAGGTGGCCAGTTGTGATGTTGCAGAGGAAGGCCAGTTGCGCGTCCTACGTACTTGTGAGGTGATGCAGTGTGTCTTGCAAGATGTAGGCCCTCTTCTTTGGCATGACACCCTCTTCGTAGCATACATTCTCGACCAAAGAATGTTTCGGTTGGCACTGAACGCAAGACGACCCAACAGGTCTAAATCCGTCCTACACCTGTTCACTGGCAGGAGGAGGAATTTCAGTACGACCAAGATTGGATTGAGGATTTGGCTAAGCATTGCGCTGACGACATCATTTGTTTGTCAATGAGTTGGAGTTTCGCCTGCGCCAAAATCAATCGGGTGACCGTTGCGTTGGCCGATCTATAGGGAGAGAGGCAGACGGTTCCTTCGCAACGGCAGACCTGAAGGAGTATACCCATCAAATCGCCGTTGTGCAGAGTGAACGCGTGCGTGGCCGAGACTCCGCTGTGCACAGGTTCCCCAGGGACCCCTATACGTCCTTTCGCCCATGTGCGCTGACTTTGCACGCTCGTCGAAAGACATTCCGGTCGCTTGGACCGTTGAGTGAGGTCTCACCCCTCCCCAAAGCAGCTACAAGGTTTTGTTTGCGAGCAAAAATAGCCTTCATTCTATCCGTGTTTGAGTCGGTCTAGACCCACTTCAGGTACTCTTGTTTGTGATGACTTCTGTCGTGGCCTTCTGCTCGGACCTCTTGGCTGGAGTCTCGGGATACGCTTTCGCGCAAAGGCTGCACCGTTCCGCAAGATGTGAAGAGGGTTTCTGCCGTTCACGTTTCCCATCGTTTCCCCGTTTCCCTGTTTTTGACGGTGTCGTGTTCACATGGCGTTGCCTCCGCATCACAACCTTCCGCAACCGTTTGCAAGCGGGCGCAGCCTGAATCTGCGGCCGTCCCGCGGGAACCACGTGGTTGAAAAGAATGATGGCGCGCGCAACTACAAAAGTCCAACGCGTTGGATCAGGCGCATGAGACCGCTTTGCTTGGCGCGCAAGTGCAAATTATGCTCTGCTGTGAAACTTGGCCGATCCATACGTGTTGAATATGACTGCCACTACTTGGATGTTATTTGGGGTTGCCACTGGTTTAGCTGACTTAACGTAGTTATTAACCACTTAGCTAACCATTTGCTAAGTGCTCAGCTGGGCACTTACGTGAGCCATCGATAAGTGATATACAAAGTAGATAGCAAAGATTTAGTCTCAACCTGTTGAACAATTAGCACACTTAGCCAGGAGATGCTGAGTACTTTGCTATCCACTCATAATCAATATCATAGGGGCATTGTCTGAAACAAACATGCTACCAACAGAACTTAAACCCTGAACCCTAAAACTTCAAAATATAGTTCAATCATATATAGCTGAAAAATATCAAAGCATACACAAATCATAACTTTTGCAGAACATGTGTTTTTGTATATTTCATAGATGTAGCTTCAGACTGCTGTCAGACCCCTTTTTGTTGCATGTTGTGCCTCATGTACAGAGGAACCAAAGAAGTCAGAACTCCTTTGGTCTCATCGGCTGTGAGATCAAAGCTGCTTCCACCAAAAAGCTGTCATCAGTTTTTGCCCAATTTGCTGAGCAGGTACCTGCCTTGTAGGATTGAAAAGCCCATACTGAAACCGAACTCCGAAATTTCCCCACCAACTTCGCAACAAACACCCGTCAGCGCTCCTGCCTCATAGTTTTTCAGACTTGAAGTTGCCTTCGCAAAATTCTTTACAGCTTTATGCTTCCTTTCCAAACAGAAGGAGGAAGGCAAACGCTTCAGGTACTCCAGCTCTGCAGGCAAATGCGCTAGCCAATGGAACTTGCTATGAAAAGAGTCAACCCATTGGGCGTGAAGAAGCTTGAAATGGCATACGCGCCAAGAATTTTACTAGCTGCTGCTCTGAATGTATTTGCTTCCTGGTTGGATTTCTTTCTCTTCTCGCTAAACAAGCTGTGGAGCTGCAGCTTCAAAGCTTTGGGGAAAGTCCACTTCTGCAGGTAGTTGCAAGAAGTATCATGCGCATCAAACTCCTTAGACTCCTGCAAAGTCTTCAGAAGAAGGGTCAACATGGGAGCCATGATGCCATTAGCCAGGATTGCACGCATCCGGTCATGCGCAAAGTTGTTGGCCGGGTTCAACACACGTTGCAAGTCTGGGTCTAGCAGCAAAGACTTCTCCTGGTAGACAAAGCCACAGGCCCAACCCTTAAAAGCTTCAGCTGTGTATTCCAGTTTCTTCCTTTGAAGCCTAGCTATAGAGCTTTTGATGTCCTGGTTGGAAGCAAATTTAAGATCCTGGGCTTTTTGCATGGAGAAAATCGGAAACTCTTCGCCGTCCTACATGTTCAGTGAGTTCTTGGCAAAGAGATTCTTACACAGGATACAATATCGAGATCCTGCTTCCCTTCATTCTCCACGCATACTTGTTGGCTGCCCCATCCTGGAGCATTCCTCCAAAACTGATGAACAGCTTTTGATGCTGACCATCAGGGCCCTTCAAAGTCAAACCAGCAGATGGATTGAAGTCTCTCAAAAAATCGTCTTCAATTTTGCTGAAAAATTTGGGAGACTCCGAGTTGAAGCTTGCTGACCAGGCTGCTTCTGCAGATACACAAGCATTGCCATGCTAACTCTTTCTGCAAATTCTGCGCCACGCTCTTTTTTCCATGGCTTCTTTGCAAATTTCTCAGCGTGAAACCCACAGAAAGTATTGCGCATGCAAACCTGAGCCAGTCTTATACATATATGACATTATGAGCAAGTAATTTGCTGGCAGGGAGATCCGCCTATAGCGGGCTGCTCCGCGCGCGACGCCTAAAGAACGTATAGGTAGCGGAGTAGATCTTAAGACTACCTTCCACAGCGCGCGCCAGTTGCGCTGAAAAACGGAGTATTCAGCGAATTAAGGTTGACCCTCCAGATGGGCGCCCTTTGAGGTCACCCTGGCTAGTCCCTTTTTGCATGTGTGAAATTGCTTTGATCATAGTTAAGCGTATTTTAATTCTAGAATTATCACAAATAAGATGTAAGATTATTAGGAGTTATTCAAATAAGAGTAGCAGTGGCACAAGATTAGAAACGATTTTGAACAAAACTCCACAACAAGTAAAAGTATGAGTGAGTCAAAAGTGTTTTCACGAGTAAGTCCCCGAGTGGAGCCATGAGTGAAGTTGCAGTGAACTTGCAAAAACAATAAAAGTTCAACATTTCCTTTTATGATAGGGTCACAAGTCGAGCGACAAGTCAACTTTCAAAACACAAGGAAAGGAGAACTAAGTACATCGGTTCCTTTACGACAATCGCTCCTGGCCTCGTTGAATTTTGTTGAAACTAGTAAGTTTTGGCTGAAGGGCTCTTTGCTGGCAGGGGTTGTGACAGAGTAAGGCTTTTACAACTAGTCAAGTATTGGCTGAAGGCATTGAAAAAGTATTTTTGCAAGTAGTCAAGTGTCAACTGTGCTGGTAGAGATTGTAAGGTCATTGAATAGTAACTGGTAATTAAACTCAATAAGATGTTTGAATCTAGCCAAGTCTTTGTTGAAGGGCACTGTGCTGATTGGAATCGTGCCAAGTAAGTGTTTTGAAACTTTAACTAGAGAGGTTTTGGCCGAAGAGTACTGCGCTGGCAGGGATTCCAACCCTTGCCAACAACATCAAACTGAGTCCCACACGCAGTAGGGCACAACTTTTAGTCTAGGTTAAACTTGAACAATACGCGACAAGACATTCAGCTCAATCAGCGTCAACTTCATTCAAACAAGTCATGGTCATCCATTGTTGATCTTCATGATGATTCACCTGGCTGGCACGTACGAAGTGCAATGCTATTCATTTTACGGTGCTGCAAGTCTGAGTCCCATGACATGGAATCACAGCAATCGAAATATGACTGACAACATCAGGCCGCAAACAACCTGTTTATCAAAATGGTCGCTCACAAATAAATATGCCAACTTGCCCAACAACTTTTGGCGGGCGCCATGTGAACAACCTGTATCATAATTAATTCAACAAAGATTATAGTCGAGCGGTGACAAGTCGTAGTACATATCAATTTGGCTGACACATTTGGGGCGCCATGTAATGTTGCAAACTTTCAACCCGTCCTCCTCATGCTTGCGTTGACCTGTGACATGGAACTTGTGCCCAGTCTCCGTCTTAAAAGCAACGCCACGGGCGACTGGCCGCCCAGACTCTTTCAATGCCAGGGTTTGACTCAGTGCCCCAATGTGATGATGACACACCGGAATCATCGGAGTTCCAACAAATGCAGCTTTCAGAGTCATCATCGTCATCATCATCGTCATCGTCAGACAACTGCACTTGGCCAACAGCGCTGGGTTCATCAAACAAGCCTTCATTGTTAACAATGTTGGTGGAACAGGAATTGAAGATGTGAATCACCACCATGATGATTGCAAAAGCAACGCTAAATGTCACCATGATTGCCATGGCTTCCATCATAAACAGCAAGTTTGATTGGACTAGTTTGAACGCTCAACTTGGCTGCTAAGGTCAAAATTACCATCAAAACGTACACCTTGCAAAAGGATAAGCCAAACAGTGCAGCAGCTCAGCACATACTAAGGACAAGTTTGAACGCTCAACTTGACAGCTAAGATCAAAATATCATCAAAACGTTTGCCTTGCAAAAGGACAAGTCAAACGCGAATCTTTTAAGCGCAGTGCAGCAGCTCAGTTCATACATTTTTCACTTACAGCCACATATTTGCAGATCCAATCCAACACGCCCTTCTCGTCAATCTTTGTGGACGATCCCTTTTAGGGCGCGCGTGTTGCCCATTCACCCGAACTCATCATGGAACCACATTCTCAAGAAAATCATTGAAATAGAGAAACACATCAGTACCTCAAAGACAATTTGCTTGTGAAGCCAAGGCACCTCCAACTTCCTTTGCATGGACACTGAAATAGGAAGTTGCTTTGTCTTGGGAACCAAGGCTTGGATCCTTTTTGAACTGACCAACATCTTTGCAACGTTCTTCACATGTCACTGTATCCCATGGAATGACTCCTTTCCTTGATTGAAATGGCCCACGGTTGCTGCGGGCCATTGTTATTGCTTCAGTCTTTGGCCTTGCTTCCTTCAGCTCGGGAGACTCGCTGCTGAGCTTTGCAGCGGGTCTTTGAGTTGATGATGATGCGTGCCAATCAGGCTCTTCAAAACTAAGAAGTTCACGCAAAGAAGTACATCATCATCAATTTTACGACCGCTCGACTTCGTCTTACACAACTTCTGCCTTTTGGCCGGTGGTCCTTGACCCGCAGCTGTTTGGAGTCAGGCACTGCCCCCTTCTGTTCATCAGCAGCAGGCACAGTGCCCTCTGACTCCGAAGGCGCAGTGCTCTCCGGCATAGGCTCTTCATCAGCAGGCGCAGTGCCCTCCAGCAAAAGCTGATCAGGAGCAGGCGCAGTGCCCTCCAGCAAAGCTCTTCATGAGGCACAGTGCGCTCCAGCAAAGGCTGATGAGCAGCACGCCGCCTTCCAGCAAAGGCTCATCAGCAGCAGTCACAGTGCCCTCCAGCAAAGGCTGATCAGGAGTGAATGGGAGATCGGCAGGCACTGTGCTGGGCTCAGCAGCAGGTGCTTGCGCTGCAGGGGCAACTTGCAAGTCGCAATCAACTGCAAGTCGTCTGGCTCTTCTGCAAATCTTTGTGCCACTGAGCATCTTGTTTTGGCCATC